AACGTATCAAGTAAATAGTATATGTCACAGAATAAGAATTTGATTGTAACTGTTAAGTGAAATGAGACGAAGAGAATGATAAAAAGTCATGAAGAGAACGGTATTCTCATGCAATAGCTATGAGAGTGAATACAACACGTCTGAAAAGAATGAGAATCCATGTGAATCAGTATGAAGTCTCACAGACAATAGCCTTTCATGCAATCATAATCGATTGCTCATGCAATCATACTGAGGAACACAAAGGTCTAACAGAAGGCCCAGCGGTGTCGATTATCATCATGAACATGCTAATAAGATTGCACCTAGCTTTTTCCACATTTGATAGGGAGGTGGAGGTAACGGCGGCCTGCCAGATTATTAAAAAGGGGTAATGGAGCACCCGAACTTGAGAACCACTGCTATATGTGAAGAGAGATTTTCAAAGAACTCAGAATATGATATTCTTTGCAATGGCGATACAACACAAGCATAAACTCTTAATGAAGTATTGCTCAATGAGTTGCTGTTAAAGAAATAAATAAACAATAATAAAACAAGTCAAAACAATGGAAGACATGAAATTTCGATCAGCAGAAATAATCCTATAGTGGAATGTGGATCGTTTTCGACAATAAGATGACACAAAATAAGATCAACGTACCATATGCAACAAGACATTCAGCACAGTTTGGGATAATGTGCAGAAAATGAACAGATTCCAGAAGATTAATTAGATTTGCAGGTATTCGATCACGAACCAAGCAACATTCTGTGAAGTTAATCTTTAACTAATCCAGATATCAACCCCAAAATTGAGCAAACGTTTCCGTCTTAATTCCAGACCCAATAACCATACTGCCAAAGACCTGACCTCACCNCAGTGCCGTATTCGTTTGTTTATTCAAGCAAATCGTTCATTAACAACACGTCTCTGTGCGATACATACGTATGTATGTGGTGTCTTAATTAAACCACTTACTTCCTCAAATGAAAACTGTGCATTTGCTTAACAAATTCAAAGAATTCAAACTCGTCTCATTCTCTTTTCACAAAGATGACCCGACTCGTTAAATCTTTGAACAATGCTTACTAACAAACACATTCTTGTGAGAATTAGTTGACTATGCGTTTTTTGATCGAGTCAGCGTTAGCTGATCGATTTGTGATTGTTTTGAAATGATCAGTAGATCATTTCAATCGGTCAGTGGCTTTCTTCTGATATGCTTGCATAATTTTCTTGTATTATTCGACTGGATTGTTTCTCACTGAATTGCCAAACAAATCAATCCAGAGATTATCCTTCATTCTCCTTTAATTCAGCCGTACATCGCACGTTCACACTTTGATCAGTTTGCTAATTTTCAGGTTTTGTTCAGTTTCAGGTTACAATGAAAGTTGTTCTCGGTTTGATGTTCATATTCTCTTCATCAGTAAGCGGTTAGCAAATCTTACAAATTATTATCATTCCCCTCTCGAATTAATTGATATCAGATCACTTCAATTTGGAAATCAGCACCGTGCAAATGCTCTAAATTCAGGAACAGATCCCATTTCGAAGTCGATTATCGTGTGAATACATTTCAGGCGATTATCGAGAGCAACAAGCTCGTGCAATTCAACTGACCAAGCAACGTCAGAATGAACAATCGATCAGCCAGTTTCATCGACCCAGTAAGGCAGCGCCAGCCACAAGTGCAGTCACTGTACGGAGTGAACGACTGGACGTGGTCCGCCTGAATCATCTCATCCAGAGGATCGACAAGCGTTGGACGCCACCCAGCTCTAATGGATCCCGAGAGCTGATCGGCTCGAATTTTCAGGTTATTTAAGGGCGATTTTGAATTTGAGAAAAACAGAAGAAAGTCTGATGGAAGGCTTGAAAGTCTAATGGAAAGGGTGTGTTTCAGTACCGCAAAACTTGTGCGAATATCTACAAGGCTCGTCATAACGCGTGTGAACAACTCGGTTTTGGCATCATGTGCTTCAATTATTGTCATGAACAAGGTTCGCTAGTGAAATTCTCATTTTGAGAATAAGGTTCATTTATGCTATCGAGTCTGAGCCGGGGTATGGTTTGGCTCGCATCTGATCATCTATTTATGTGATTATTCAGCGGTCGAAACTGACAGTCGAATTGAAAATCTGAGTGAAAAAATCCCCACCATCTTGTAACTATACTGTATTGAATGTGAATAATGCGGAAGAAACTTTTTAATAGTGAAGAAAACAATGCGAAAGTATGAAAATATGGTGTAAGGATAGCTTTTGCTCATGTCAGGGTTTTTTGGGATGATTCTCTCAAAATTTATATTGATTTATTCTTACTGAGAATATAACTGATGTTAGATGACAGCTTCAGTGGAATGTCACCAGTTGAACTTTTACATTGCTGAAGCTGATTCGTAGTAATTCAACTGTGATTAAGGTTAGATGTGTTGTAACTTGTATAGCCACATTCATGAAAATTATTAGTGTTCATTGAATCAGTCTGACATTCAGAGGTTTATGACATGCACAGGGAGGATTCCTCTCTAAGGTAAAACTCGATGGCATCAGAGAGTATTAAGGAGACTAGGCAAATCATTGTTGATTGAGTTTTCCTAACGGTTCTTCAATAACCCTACAACATTGCTATCAAAATGCTTGTTTCATCACCAAGAGTTGTCTCCTTTCATCCAAATGCCTCCTCTGATTACTCGGCAAGTTATAGCCCATCTGAGAAGGAAGGAACGAACTGTTGCAGAGTAGAAGATTGCTCTACTAAACGATCATACGTAGTAGGGAGCGCAATAGCATGAGATCGGTCAGATCCACTGTTATAGAGAGAAGAAGAAGAATGTGAATAAGATAGAATCGAATATCTATCTAAACCACAAACTAAGCATCTTTATCTAACTCGCGATGAGTTTGTTTACCGAATAAGCAAACAGCAGCGAATATGATGAAATGCTCGTGATTTCATAACAAAATGTGAGCAAACATCAAAAAATTGCCCGGAACAAGTGCTCAAATGTGCTGTTGCTCGCACTGCTCCTCAACATTCTTCATTTTCGACCGTTCAACAATTCGTCCGAGGTGGATTATGTATAGTTGAACAAACAAGGCATAGCCCTTGACAGCGATTGATTCAACTGTTCAGTTTGGTCATCATCACTTTATTGAGTGAGTTCGGTCCGTCCACTCAAAAAATCAACTCGCTACTAAACGATTGCACAGTCACGATTAGTTGTTCTTTTGATGATGAGTAATCAATCGCTTAGAGAGGATAAAACAATAATTCAGATATGGTAGACAGGAGATTGTGCATTAGAACAATGATTCTCGGGTTTGGGTGTTCCGTTCCTCCTTTTGAGGATCTGACAGGCCGCCGTTATCCCCCTGATATAGGAACTTACTGTTTCTACGTATAATGTCAGGAACAAACGGTTTTCCGTTTGTTCCTGACGTTTTACTGTTCATGAGATTGATTATGATTGCATGAAAAGCTATTGTCTGTGACACGCTCACTTCATACTGATTCACATGGATTCTCATTCTTTTCAGACGTGTTGTATTCACTCTCATAGCTATTGCATGAGAATACCGTTCTCTTCATGACTTTTTATCATTCTCTTCGTCTCATTTCGCTTAACAGTNAGTGCATTTGATAGAATGATAATTTGACTTTGATTGTGGAGTGAAATAAATGAGAAATTATCAGAAAAGAACACTCTTGGTGATAACAGTCATGAGAGCGATTACAACAGCAAGAAAAAGAATGAGAATCCTGTTAAAACGAATGAAAACCATGTTTGGGCCCAGACGAGCCAGAAAACTAACCGCATTCACATATTCCAGTTTTAAAAAAACACCACCACAATGGCGTTCTATCATAAAATAATAACTGTACAAAGTATTAATTTCCCAACCCCGTACCACTGCATTAGGAGAGGAAAGAGTAAAATACAGAGGAAGCTAACGAAATGAAATTTTAGACTGCTCAAAATCTTTAGGAAGGCGATTCAGTATTATTAAGTTGGAGTGGATGTCTGAAGATTTCAGGCGAAAATTTGCGATTTGCATGTCAAGATGCGTCGGATGCTGCGTACTGTAAAAATGCGGCTGTGTTTGACAAGTTTCTGGTGAAGTATCAACGAGATTCATATAAAGCAAAAACTTTCATTCATCAGGTAAAACTTCTATTATCAGATGTTTCGAATTTATTCAAAATATAAAATACAGTTGGGTCGATAGCGAAACTCTATCCATGTCCGTTCCACCTCCTTCCTCCTCCCGAAACGTTGTCTGTGCTCGGCCGTTTCCGAGAGTATGAAGTAGAGTCGGAGGCTCCCGAGGGAATCTCGTGGATGCTCCTTTGATCCAACTTCAGTGTGAAGTGAAACTGGCACCTAGATAACATTAAATTGGCTTTAAAACAACCGAAAACCAAAATATAATGTCAAGATAGGGAGGACAACATAACACTTGAGGAAATTCATTGATTATGACAGCGATTTTGAGGAATTAATCAGCAGTTTCATTAGAGCGGAATTGTGTGACCATTCGATCACATCATTGCTCTACTCTAGATTATATGAAAGAAGGTCGAACTAATTACTGGTCGATCTAATAGAGCGATTTTTTTGCTGTTTTCGTGAATCCTCTTCAGAAAGTGCGGTAATTTCAGTTAAGTTGTATTAATTTTCTGGTTTGCCCCATTTAAGTTGTAACAAATTGTCGAATTCAGATGCTCTCTCGATGCTATGCAACAGCGATATGTACCAACAAGAATGGATTGCTGAATAGCACTTTGATACGAAATGAAACGCCGTTGATGCGTATGTCACCGGTGAATATCACCACCTACATAAGTCTTGTTCTACCGAATGATAAAGCCATCACCAACTCTTCGCCTAGTCCTTCCTTGGTCAACAAGCTCAGCGCTGCTAAAACGAAGTCACCAAGCCGAACCATACGACCAAGTCGAAATAAGGTTGTGCTAGCTACAACACGACCGAGGAATTACACTGCGGTAAACTGTGATTTACTTAAAATTACTTTTGAGTAACTGTTACAATATTTTTTTCAACTGCACCCATCTGATATAAGAAAACTGAAGTTACTTATGCAATATGCCCAGCAAAACGCACAGTACTTGTGTCTTACCAAAGCATTTTTATAAACTACTCAAAGAGAGATCTACTAGCAGGTTACAAGCACAAGTGATTGTCGTGGCACTCAAGTATGTGATATACTCAAGTTGATATGCAAGTATTTGACATGCAAAAGTCGCTTATCCGTTTTCTGTGCTTCAATCCCTCTTCACTCAGCTTGATCAGTTNAAGTGTGTGGCTATGATTAGGTTGAGTTTCGAACTTCACGTGCACTATCAAATTCAACAACTCGCTTCAATCTATAATTTATCAGCGAGTTGATTCATTACGCAAAACCAATTAATCTTTATTCTCGTGCAACCATAAGAGTTCATTTAATTCAGAATCCACTGAGACGTACAACAACACAAAAACCGAAAGCAGTACCGTACGAGATACCGAAACAGGCAAATGCACGGCATCGGCAAGAACTGCAACAACAAAGCTCGACAACTACCAATAATGTAAAAGCATCCATGAATATTCCACCAAAAGCTGTTCCCATATGGCAGAGATTACTTAAAAAATATCCCAAGTCTTCAAATTCATCAACAAAAGCACCAGCTAACGCAACACCAACCCAAGAAAGCGTCACCGCACAATCGCAACCAGTCATCCCAGAAATTCCAACATCAAAACGCGCAAATCCAACTTCAAACAGAAGATTTTCAGCTTCAGAGAGGCAGTTTTCAAACTCTGCGAGAGAACCAGTAACCTTAGACCCGACAACAACAAGTTGGCATGAGGTTGATCAAAGAGGACAAGTGAAAGAACGAAGTGAACAAGGAACAACTCAAGAATTGCTATCTCCTCATCAAATACCGCAAGAATTCAGCACGGCTGAATTGCAAGGGGAAGAAGAAACAGAGAATGAGCCCGATACAGTTGCCGACGAAGAAATTTTGCGGTTTTCACCCGAGATTATTGAAGCATTACTTCTCAGACCCGCATCTCGTCGTGCAGTTGCCGATGCTAAGCAATCGACCAAATCAGCATCAAACTGTGCTGATCAACTCAACGATCGCAACATACAACGAGCACCTGCAAAATTCGAACAACAAACCGTTGAAAAGTAATGCAATTTCATTGCTGTTTTTCACTGATGTCCAGTGAATACAGTTCCATTTTATGAACATTTCATTTCATTGTATCTCCTCTAACAATGGCAAAATATACTCTCATAATTAAAACGAAACGAAAATTTTCGCAATTTTTGTGTTTTCGCATAGGCGAATTTTTCCAATTGCATTCGAAAACGTTAATTAGTAAAAATCATAGCAATTAATCATGTATGGGTACATATATCAATGTGATTCGATTGAAATGAACCAAATTTGCATGTTTTCGTCGATTGAACGACAATCTTTTAAAGCACAGATGTAATGCTCATTCTCATAGATCAGTGGTCTGTTGCTTTTATCATAGAGGTCAATTTCTGTGGTCAAACTAGCATTTTGAAAACAACTAGGAAGAATTGTGGGAAAAAACATTCAGAAATGATTTTCCAACCTCCAAAATTTCTCGTATTACTCCACTCATTTCTATGAGAATCATTTTCGTACACAGACCTTAATGCGAACCATCTTATCACGTTGATATCTCCCATCTTTCCCAAGCTAAAATAGCTTGAATTTATGCTTAGATCAACCGACATCATCAGATTCTCCCATTTCAGCGTTCTTGCGATAAAATCTCCTAACTCAGCGGCGCAAACCACCGAAATTGGAGCCGGAACTCCGAACGCATCAAAATCGACAGCAGACGCAAAGCCAACCAGAACAACAAATCAGTCACTGAAACTAACTGAAGATGCGCTGGAAAGAGATATATCAGAGCTGGTGAAAGGATCGCTTAATGAACGAGAGCCAGAGTTCTGGAGACGTTATCAACGTGCATTTTGGCTTAGAGTAATCCGACAGTTGAATAAACTGATTCAGCGGTTGGAATGAAAACGTCTTTGGAAACTGCAACACTGTTATGGCATATGCTGATAATCCTCTTCTTCTAATTCTATCGGAAGTACAAATTTATGAGTTCATAAAGTTGTGATAAGGTTGTATTCTTATTGTTAAGGTTGTATTCTTCGTTGAGGCTTACTTTATGATGTGATAATGTTTCACTTGATGATGATAAATTCTCTTCTCAACACTTTATTTGAACTGATCATTTGCCATAGCAGAATGATCATTACATTTGATCATTGATTATTTGCCATCAGAATGATCATTGCTTTAAAAGATTGTTGTTGAATCTAACTTCAATTCAAATGAAAGAAATCAAACTCAGGCATAACATGCACATCCACGAAGAAAAAAATGAGCTATTCAACTTGAAAATTCAACTTGAAAGTCTGAAATTCGTTACGTATTGTAAGCTAAAAAGGTGGACGTAGGATCACATTTGTTATATGTTAGGGCATATGTATGCAAGGATGCATGTTATTTTATTATAAATATTATTGTTATGTCATTATTTTATGTCCTTATTGTCGTGTCACCATTATCCATGATACATTATTATCATACATATCAGTCACTGTTGTCACAGATGTGCCTGATGAAATGGAACATT